ACATTAAGCATGAACCCAAGCATATAATTTAATTTTTGAAAATTATGGTAAATTCTGGCATAAAAATTTATGTAAATGATGCTTATAAAAATTAGGTTAAGATTTGTAAATTTGCAGTCTCAAGCACTTAATGTTAACTTAGTGATTGACAAATTAAGGTACATTATGGTTGGCAGTAGCATGTACAACTATCTGCTACACAGTGGCAGATTAATGAAAATAACAGAATAATCTGCCTTGAAAGGACCTCTAACTTCAAAGGTAGGACAGGTTTCTTGGTGCATTATCCAGCCAAGTTTTTAAAATTTCCGAAGATGGAAATTCTCCAGCCTCTCTGGGCAAGCCATTCCACTGCTTAACTATTGTCAATTTTTTTCCTTATATTTAACGGAATTTTCCCATGCTGCAGCTGTGACTGTTTCTTCCTGTCCTTTTATTGTGTTCCTTTGAAATCTCTTTCTCTGTCTTTCCTATAGCCATTCTTTAGGTAGTTAAAGATTGCGGTTAGACCTCCTCTCAACTGCCTTCTCTCCATGATCTCTCAGCCTCTTCTTTTGCAATAATGATGCTGCATTTTATTCCCAAGTCTGAAAGTGAATGAAATCCACTTGTTTTGTAGCAATAGTAGTAGGTCCTTGTAGACAATCTTAAGTATTTAAGCAATGCAAGAAGGATTTATATGCCAAACAGCTTGTCTCTTTTTTTCTTATTGTAGTTGCTAGTTTAATAGAGTATAACCTCTCTCCCTACAAACCTTGGCAATCTTCTACATTCCATTGTCCATATTTTTCTGTTTCTGTCGCATATCCTGGGCATGTAAAGACCTCAAAATATTTTTAGCAGAGTTAGAAACTTCCTTCCAGCCTCTCATCAAATCACTTCTCTTACGTACAACATTTTCAGTTATAGCATCAATGTGAAGCACAGGGTAGGTTTAAGAGGAGGAGCATTTACAACAGATGCTAAGAAATCCTGAAGAAAGGACTGAAGCTGAAATCTCATCTGATGCCTCTGCTTAGACATTGTGTAAGACTGGCAAAATCCTTACCCTAGTTCCAAATAAGTACTTTTATTATCAATGGTCTGTAAAGTCCAAAGACTCCCAAGGCTATTCTTTCTTTCTTTCCTTCCCCAGGAGTTTTGTATTATTGCTGCACAGTCCAATAGCAACAAGAGGCATATCTCAGTCCAGCCTGCATACTGGAGATTATGAGCACTCTTCTGGGAATTGTGAAATATGGGACTGAATCCGTCAGACTGAAAAGATTATAGAACCTGACCTCCCTCTACCCAGGAAATATAAACACTGGGCCACTTCTATAAATGAAACTTTACCACCATTCTTCAAGTAATTTTTTGATTTAAATGCTCATGTCTGGTTTACTTTGTGACAAACACAGTGCTACCAGTTTGTCTCTGCACTTAGTGTATCTGACATAACCCCTCAGTGAGGGAATTTTGCTTTGGAGGTTCCTGGTTTCTGAGCCCCAAAAGATTGGTAGCTGCCAAACTTCTCAAATCAGATAGGAGCATGGTTGCTTAAGGATGCATAACAACGTCAATGTACAGATAATTTCAAGTGGCAAGAGTAATCTATTGCTGAAAATAAGGGAACACAAAGACACTCAAGTGCCTGTTTTTATGTCTACACTGCTCTGAAGTGGCAGAAGTATATTCATTACCATGTAGTGCCTGCCCTCCATGCATGTAACAACCTCATTGACATCTTGTTCAATCAAGGCTGGGAGCAAATATTCATGCTTAGCATTTTTGGCTGTGCAGATTCCTAGAGGGCTTACTCTTATTGCGCTTGAAGCTGCTTTGCAGGCTTATGCTATAGAATACAGACAAGCTTGACCTTCAGAGCAATTCTCCAGCCACCCTTAAGGGGTACTCTGGATGTAACCTTAAAGGGTGGGCAAAATTTTTCTTTATCACATTCTTTCACTTAGCAGCTATAATCTTCCTAAATTTGCCTTTAGGCATCTACTTGCTCTTATCAATCAATGCCAAGCGATCTCTAAATTTCAAGTTATGTCATCTTTTGTTATAATCTAAATCAGATGCCACTTCTTTTCCAAGTATCACTCTGCTCAGGAGGAAACCAAACTACACTTAAACTGAAAAACATCCTTTTGCTGTTACCCAGCCAACTTTTAATACTTGCTTATATGGGAAATAGCACATAATGTATGTCCAATAACTATATAAATGAATACCCTACCAAATTAAATCATGCACAGACTTAGACTAGATTTGTTAATGCATGTTAGAGCCCTTTCTTCCAAGGCTGAACCACCTTTGACAACTTCTCTGAAAACATGCCAGTTTCAAAAATTTCCAGATGATAGTCAGTCTGTCTTAATATCTGTTTTCCAATTTTAGTAGAGGTGTTTTTCAACCAGTAGTTAAACTGGTCTTGCAACCACCTCTTTACTACAAGATCATTGTTGTGATCAGAAGTGGAATTCATGGATAAGTCAGGTGGTGTGATTCAAGATATGCTGTTCATATGAATTCTGAGATGCATCTTCCTTGTTACTGTGGTCGCATATGACTTGGAACCTGTATTGATTGAGGGACCAAGGGATAGTCAAGTCAACCAAAATACTCTTTTCACACAAATGGGAGTTATTAGCATAAAAAATAGCATCCATAAGAAAAATGTCTTCATAAACTGTTGTTGTTCATGAAGTAAAAAGTAACTGTTCTGCATGGATAAGTGGTTGACATTTGAGCATGTCTTTTTAGAGAGGAAATTATTTCAAGCTCTTCCGTGAGATCCAGTACAACTTTTCAGGGATCCTATTTCTAAATTGGATTCAGTAAAACTGTCATGCTTTCTAAACAGATAATAAGTCAATAAACACTTCTCAATTGTTTAATAATAAGGACTGTGAAACACACAAAATTGTTGATGCTGTTCAATGGTCTCCCTGCATTTCCCAGTCTAACTTTTTTACTTTTAGCTGTGGCAGGTAAGAACTAATGCTGTTCACCCATCTGTATCCTACCTGGCATTTTTATGTATACTATGTAAAGGGCTATTTTGAGCCTAAGAGTCTACTCGGTACAGCGAGTGTTAAAGTCCTTTGATACTGGAACCTGATCAGTGGTAATGGGAACATTTAGAGTTTTACCAGCAGATTTCTAACAAGTTCATCCCAAGCGCACATGCCAATTGTTTTTCACAGCAACCACAGAATACCTTCCTGACAACTGCATGTGCACATTTGTGCTGTTGCAAAAGGAAAGATAAGTCAGAATTCATAACTTCTACAAGTAACAGGAAGAGCTCTGGAGAAGGCAGCAGGAAAATTAAGCTACATCTGTGTTAACAAGTTGTACAGCTCCAGACAAACAGATCTGTGGAACAGAGCAGTTAGTACAAAGGAACTTTATGTCCCTACTATATGCATTTTAAGAGATTTTACTCTGGGCTAGCTCTAGGCTGTGCAGTGGACTTATGGAAAGTCTTTAGGTACACCTCTGGAGTGCATCCATTGGTTTAGTTTCATCCAAAGGATATCAGTTTGCATGCTTTGAAACTGCTCTGTGATATGAATCCAAGTGCATTAAGTGGAAGCTTTAGGTTCCTCACTTAAAAATTGCAGTCTTTGAACTAGAATGCTAATGTAGATGCATCCTCATGGAAGAAAACAAACCATAATTTTTCAAATGTAAATTTGAAATTCACTTACTTGTTGAGAAGTAACTTTGGTTACAAAATGACCCCTACTAGATTAATAGATTTGTAAATGCACATTCTCAATCCTGGTAAATTACTGTAGCTGTACTGAATTCAAGAAGGTTAGCTAATTTACATTCATTGAGGATCTAATCCATGGACTTTAGAACCCAATGTGAAGTTCCATAGGTAGACAGGCACTAAATATATTCAGTTGAGAAACTAAACCATGGTTTAATGAGAGGGTTTTTTTCAAATTCATTGCCAATATCAATGTTGATGACAAGATAAATTTTCTTTTGTCTTAGAACTTTAAATCTCTATGAAAAACTCAGGCATTTACACTTTAGAGGGTTTGGAGACACTTATTAACATAATCAACACATGCTTTATATTTCATCATAAAGTAGTCTCATGATATAAAAATTTGTGAATTGAAACCAATTTTCAGAAGAACTGTCATGCATCTAATGTAATCCAACTGTAATAATAGCAGTATGAGGCTTACCTTTTCGAAATTATGTGTGTAGACACATTCTGTTAACATTATGGCAGTTACAAGGCTAAGGATCAAACTTTTAACTGAGTTAATCCTCTAACTCCCAGTGATTTTAGTGATCTTAGATTCCTAAATAATTTTTAAAAGCCTTCAGCCCCTAAGTTTTTTAATATATCCATCTCATACTGAATTTTTATCAGTACAATGAGTATGTTTATTGGCACAGTTTTTATCTGTAGCTAGATAGCTTCTGGTTATATTTCTACATGCAATGTACAACATTTTGTGCAGAGGCAGTACACCATTTAGAGGTCATTTTCTAGCATTTGGAAAAAGAAAAAAACTAACAGTTGAAGTGAAATAATAAAAATGTCATTTATATGATGCAGTGCCAGATATGGAACTCAAACAATGTACAAAAGGTTCAGGCTTAATTTTCCTGAAGCAGAAGAAATGAGAAGCATTTCATTTTTGTAGGTGAGAAGTGAAACGTTCCTCTCTGCTCACTGATAGAGGCATGCTAAGGTGAATTTTAATTATGACTAAATTGTGGTATTACTCTTTCATACCCTGAACATCTGTTCCCTTCAGGAATGATGATTTATGCAGGCTATCACTGCAGACAGCTTGCTACAGCTTATGTCACGGTTAGTAGGAAGCTGGTAGTAGTATTTCAGAAAATACCAGCCTCTAAGTGGAGACAGGCCAGTGTGTATTTTTAAGGTAATAGGGAAAGGGGAGCATGATGTGTCCATCTTTAATTTTGAAGCCAAATATTGACTTTAATTTTTTTTTTTTACTTTTTTGTTTCAGACCATCTGTCATTAATGAAGAAAGGATCTTGGACAGTGAATGGCCTGGTTCTTCATAATGGTGTCAAGTAAAAGAAAACCAAGCCTGTCATTTCCAACTGCATGTAGAAAATTACTGAGGACACCTCTGACAGAATTTTAGTGTTTAAGAACTGTACAGGGCAGGATAACTATTGAGACTACTGCATCACCAAATCAAATTGAAAAGGTAACTTTTGTTTATCAGCATGTTTGAATGAATGCATCTCTAAAGTACCTTCATTTTTACCGCAGTTTTATTGCTTTTGAATAACTATAGATTATTCTTTAAAAAAAAAAAACCAACCAAAAAATCCCTTAAATTACAAAGCCTTGGAATTCAACAAAACTGGGGTTATATGTATGTTCAGGCTAGATAAGGGGAATTTTATGTCTGTGTTCCTTCTTCCTGATATCACCCCCGCTCTTTAATCTGCTTGTCTTTGCCTAATAGCCACCTTGCTTCTGATTATCCCTATTTCTTCTCCTAGTTTTGTGTGCTAACAGTGTGTTATCTGAGGATTTATTACCAAGATTATTTGAAGCATGGTTTATCTGTTTGAAAATAAGGTCAATTTTGATTAGGTTAGATATTTAATCATAAATATTCAATAGTTAAAATATTTTTCTTAGAAGATATGACACTGTAACCATATAACAACATATTTTTTCTTTTTTTCATGTATAAGGCATTTTAATATTTTCTTGACAATTCAGTAGGTTTTAGAAGAATTGATACACTGTCTTTTGTTTTCAGGTAATTCTAGAAGAGTATATGCATTTGTCCCAAAACAAGTATGGCATATATACTTTATATCACCTCATTTCCGTTATTACTTTATGATACATTTGAAATAAGTTTCTAAAAATAAATTTTAAATACTTTTCAAACCTAGGGCTGATTCACTTTGCAAAGATTTCTACTACATGTAAGGTATTTTGAATGCCTGGTATATTAGCATTCAGCACTCTCTGAATTGTGTAATCCATTTTTTTTTAAGTCTGTAGGACAACTATAACTGTCATACACTAAAATAATACCCAGGAGTGCTATATCTGGGTCAGTTAACGAAAGGTCCTATGTCTGTCAGTTTTCTAATGTTGCCTGTGATAGATATCATCCCTTATTTTGCAATATAAAACTAATTTTATTACTGTCAGCATTGGTGCTAATATACATCAAGAAATTGCATGCAAATATGAATAACAACACTTCTGCAATAAATGTTCTTAGAGCCTGTTGTCTAACTTGAACATTCAGGATACTTTCAACATGATAAGGATAATCAAAACACACAAATCAAACTTGTCTGTACCTCAGAGCAAAAAAAGCCAGCAATAATTTTTGAACATGCAAAATCAGTAGTTTGATACAGCACTAATCTTTGCTTTTTTCCCATAGGGATGTCTTGACCTAGAACATTAATTATTAAACTGATATCTGTGAGGCCTTATAGATGTGTGCACTGCTTGTAAAGGGTATCCAAGAGTGACCGAGGCCACAGTTTTGCGTACGTTTCAAGTCGGTGTATTCCAGCACTGTTGCTAAAAGAAGCCTCCACCACTTGACCCCTGTCATTGTAGGACTTCTGCAGCTCCCTTGACAGCACAAGGGTTTTGTTCCATCATTCGGAGAACAGCATAGGGAAGGTGACAATGTCAAAAATAAACCAGTTAAAATAGTCAGATTTAATCTGGAATGGTTTCTGGAATCTGATTCACTGAACACCCACCTAGATACTTTTGCCAGCATGGGAGTGGAAAGAAACAAATGAGTCCGAAAGAGAAAAACTGTTGGGAAAATTCTGGCATGTACATACCGCTTGGTGCAGGGAAAAGAGAACTAAGGCCAAATGAAAATTTGTATGTTTATATGCAATTCACGTTTGAATTTTATGCAGACATCTGATCCTCCATGATGAATGTATAAAGTTCGACACATTTAAAATAGACTGAAAATCAGTGTTAGGTATTAGTACAACAGTAAGTATAAAATAAAAGTATTTTAAAATCTTCAAAATGGTATTTCATCCAGTCTAGTGATTTAAAAACAAAACATATTTCTTGGTTATAAATTGAAAACAAAAACAAATTACCATAAAAATTACAATACTGTGTCAGACTGGACTTTCATCTTGTCCAATATCCTGCCTTTGAGTGGATGTGTAAAGAAAAGTGGAAGAATAAAAGCAACATATGGCACATATGGTGCATATGTTGATAATTTCCTAGCATACTGCCCTCATCTGGGACACCCCAGTCATGGTGTAGTCAAATCACAAATAATATATCAGAAGAAGAGCATTTTCCTTCAATACAAATATTATTTGTTATTTGAATGGGACATTATTCCTCCTTTAGCCATTCACTTAGCATGATCTAAAAAAAAACAATTGAAATGTGTTTGGTTTTTTTTCTTCTATATATAATAAGCAAAATGCTCAGCAAATTGTTGCTGCTGTGTGAAAAAGTGTGTTTGTTTCTTTGTAGTCAGTAACTATTTACTTTCAGACTTCTACCTATTAATGAAAAAGTCAACCAGCTATGCAAAGTGTGATGTGAATTTACCAAATACTGGTGGTATCTTGGCAGGAAGGTCTGAAGCGCAACTGAAGGATGCTTGACTTTTTTTATTCTGATATACTGACAAAAGTGGTAACATTCTCACTGCAGTTATGCTAGATCCATATCACTGAATGAATGAGCAAAAAGGATGCACTGAACGATTGCTGTCTCTGTTTCAGTTCTCAAAAAGGTAGTTTTACCAGACTGCAATCTTCACAGCCTTCCTCCCATATCCATTTAGTCACAGTACAGGCTTCTGATGGAAGATCTGCACATCTACCATACAACAATCGGTATACTGATGTATATCAAATAGGATTAATAATTCATTGAAGGAAAGTATTTTTTTCATGCTGAAAATGCCTATTCTTATGCAACTAAACTTGGAAAGAATGATAAATATGTTTAGAAAATTTGAAAGAAGAGACAAGATAAATAGTGATTTTTGTTTTCTATTTGTTTCATATTTGAACTAGTATGAAACAGTTTTTCTATCCTGCCAAAGTTTAGAAAATGTCTAAAGTGCTCTTACTGAGCTAAGATCTTTCCAAATATTTTTTAAGACAGAGGTATGAGACTAGAATTTGATAGGGGAGATCTGGGCGCAGGTCCACGTTCTGTTTGGTTCTGATTAGCTGTGAACCTGGTTCTCCCAAATCTATTTGAGATGGGTAATTTCAGCTAAACAACTGCCAAGCAAGCTAAGGAACCTTTAGTGGTAAAGAATCAGAAACTACAGCTATTGGAGGACCTTGTCTCTATTGTAAGGAATTGTAATATATTTGCATGTTTTCCCATCTTCTCCCTTGCCAGAAAACATGTTCTGAGTTAGCATAGAACTGGGTCAGAAATACAGCATTTGGGCCCAAATACGGCAAATATGTACAAAAATGGGCAAGGGGGAAGGAAATATGTTGTATTTTAGCAATCCTAAGTGATATACAACACCTTCAAAAGAGTTCTGTGTTTGTGCATGTTGGAATGGCATCAAAGCTACTGTAATTACAGTTGAAAGTGAAAAAAAGAAAAACAATCAAACCCAACGAAACACAAACCGTTATTGATAGTGTTTTCTCTTTGTCTTATTTTAAAATGTATTTCTTTGGAGAGGCAGCATCTCTCCTAAGTTTGGTGTGCAATGTCAGTTGTGGAATGTGGATTCTGTTGAGGTAGGAGATGTGTTTTTCACACTTGAGCATGTGTTATTGCAGTTGAATGTAGGATTTTTAAAACAGAACACGTTCCTCTTTAAATTTACAAGACTTATAAAATTTTTCTTCATACTTTGGCTCTGTTTTCTATATGAGCACCTTGAAATAGACAGCTTAGCATATTCACCTGACTGACCTGAAATAGACATGATGGGTGAATAATGCCATTGGTATTTTCCTCTGCCTTTTCTTTTCAACAGTTCTATGAACACTGAATTTCTCCTGGTCAAAGTATTGCCATTCCTGTCATCAAAAAGTAACTTGTGTGCTATCTATCTTAGACTTTCTTCCAGAGAATGACAGGTAATTTCACTAGCATCATTTCAGTGACAGTTTCTGCTTTAATCACACAACTCCTATAGTGATGATTCACCTCTTTCATAAAATTTACATTCACTGAATAGTATTGCACAATATAAAACCAGCTACTGTGTATATTCTCAAGTATTATGATTTCTGTATGAACTGGAGAAAGGTAAGCTAAATGTTCAATAACCAATTATTTTGAAGTATGTGTAGCAAGCAAATAGTATTTAAAAGGATGCTATCAAGAAGTACATGTTTTAAATTGCTTGAGATATATGACTTTATGTTCAATCTGAAAACCTGGTTCAGCATAAAATCCTAATAGTGGGGGGCTTCTCTCTAAAACAATAGCTGTAATGCATGACTAGGAAAAATCAGAATGATGTGGACATGAACAATAGGCATAATTTAGAATTTGACTGTGGGCACAAGAAATGGCTTGTGATAAACCCTACTGGATGGTATACAACAAGCCAAAACATTATTAGATTTGGGGTGTGTTCTTCATGTTTCTAAAGGAGAGTTTCTATCTTTGCTAGCAGAATAAAAAGTTATTTAGAATTAAACATTTAAACTGATACAACATCATGTATTTCTATGTTTAATAGAGGTTAACCTAAGCAATTGTGACAGTTCTGGAATTTAGCATATCTTTTTATTCAAAGCATTCAAAGCATGCATGCTCTAGTCAAAATATGCACTTAGCATAAAAGTGTAGCAGGGAAAATCAGGCCCCTCTTGGTCTTCTGCAGCACCCAGTGTAACTCAAATGTGTGCTAGTAGGCCACACACTTTTCACTGCCAAGGAGTCTTTTGCTGAAGTCACTGAGTAACTTTTTAGACATTGCTACTTTATATTGTTTTTCTACCATGACCATATATGGTCTATGAATACACATTTAAAAATCTTACACAGCATATTCATCTTTTTGTGTGGCTAAACTGATTAGAATTAATAATAGGGGTTTTTTTTCTGCATCTTACTTTGTCTAAGGTGAAATAGAGCTTTCTGTTATGTGTACAGTGTCTGATAGAAGTAGATTAATTTTTCACAGGTATCTAAATATTTCTTTTTCA